ATACCTTTTGCGCTCATGTCTTGCATACGACACCTTTGTTTCTTTCATTTTGGTAAAGAACTTTATGTCATTTTCTGTTCTTACGGTTGAATGATGATGAAAGTCCTACATCGGCTAATTTAAGGAATGATCATGAGTTTATAAATAAAGAATATTCTCTCTATTGGCATGAGGCCTTCTAGGAAAGCCCAAAGCAAAGTCAGGAGAACTTATGCTCAAAGTAGATAATTTCATACCATTGTGGAGAATCGTGTTCGTCTAACATGGTATCGGAGCATGCCCTAAACTTAGTCGTAGATTGGTAAATCCTCAAATGTCGAACTGACTCCAAAAGAAAAGGAGTCAGGCCTCCTCGAAGGTAGTAAAAAATGACTAAGACTCCAAAGGAGTCGAGCCTCGATTAAGGGGAGGCGTACTTTGTTCGAGGGGAGGAATGATCATAGATTTATAAACAAAGAATACTCTCTCCATTAGTATGAGGCCTTTTGGGGAAGCCCAAAGCAAAGCCATGAGAGCTTATGCTCAAAGTGGACAATTTCATACCATTGTGGAGAGTTGTGTTTGTCTAACACTCGGCACATAATGATCTCAAATCGAGGCCACAAGCTGCTGAATCAATTCCTTGATGCCTGGAATATACTTTGAGGAAGAACACTTTATAATCAACTTGCATACCTTTTTATAGGGCTTGTGAAAATTCTAAAGAAGTACGACAAAAGGACCGGCGCGCTCCTCCGCCTACCCTATAGTCAGAAAGTTTTGCAGCAGCCCTTCTTTACGACCGACCTGCTTTACACGCTCGTGAAGCAGTGCGAGATGATGCTGGATCTACTCTTCCCTCTTAACGAGCTACCTTCTTCTAGTTCGAATGGAGTCGATGAAGTTGGTGCTCCTACAAAGCCAGCCACCACCAACATTGATGATCTGCTCAAGGCAACCAAGGGAGTTTCAGAGATCGAATATATGGAGTCACTTTACATGAAGAGCACCGTATCTGCATTACGGGTTTTGAAGGAAGTTCGAAGTAGGAGCTCGACTGTGAGCGCCTTCTCGTTGCCACCACTGCAAATGAATGGATTAGAAGATACATGGAAGAACGTTCCAGTTCTAGAAGAAGTAGCTAAGTAGGATGGATCAGATATCACCAACTATAAGGAAGTTCCCTTTTAGTTATGTACGTCTTCCTTTGATGTTCGTGTGGAATACTCGTGATACTAACCGTAACATGTAAAACTGAAATATGAAGTTCAAATCATAATGTAGAATCTTATAAAGGAGTGCTGATATTTACATTATCTTTATCAACTTTTTTCTATCAACACTCAACAAGAGTAGCACATTGATTAGGATTTGAACATAACTAAATAAGCAAAAGGAATGAATCAGAGAATTTTACACAAGTCAGTGGAAAGAAAATGTTCGATTAGGAGCTAAGCTAATGCTCCAAATGAGATAGCAGTTCATCTCGAGGAGAGTATACAATATAGTTATAACAGCCCAAGCCCACTACTAGCAGTTAATGTCCATTTCGGCTCGTTACATATCGCCATCAACCTCATGGTTTTAAAACACATCTGCTAGGGAGAGGTTTCCACACCCTTATAAAGAATGTTTCATTCCCCTCTCCAACCAATGTGAGATCTCACAATCCACCCTTGGAGTCCAACGTCCTCGTTGGCTCTCGTTCCCCTCTCCAATCGATGTGGGATCTCACAATCCACTCCCCTTTGGGGCACAGTGTCCTTGCTGGCACACTGCTCGGTGCCTAGTTGTAATACCCTTATAAAGAATGTTTCATTCCCCTCTCCAACCAATGTGAGATCTCACAATCCACCCCTGGAGTCCAACGTCCTCGTTGGCTCTCGTTCCCCTCTCCAATCGATGTGGGATCTCACAATCCACTCCCCTTTGGGGCACAGTGTCCTTGCTGGCACACTGCTCGGTGCCTAGTTGTAATACCATTTGTAACAACCCAAGCTCACTCCTAGCAAATATTGTTTGCTTCGACCCGCTACGTATCGCCATCAGCCTCACAATAAAGGCGTTTGCTAAGTAGAGGTTTCCACACCCTTATAAAAAATGTTTCGCTCCACGCTCCAACTGATGTGGGATCTCACAATAATCGCCACATTGTGGCCACTTCTCTCTACGAGGCATAATTTTTTAGTTTCTTTCTCATATCTTAAATAGTACAAAACTACCAACTACATTGTTCCAGCCTCAATAATTTCTCCCTCTTGAGACACCAAAGTAGTCCATCAGAATACCCAACTTTTCTTCTTTCTTTTAGGAGGGATTCAAACCTAAAATTCATAGGGGCTAGGGAAGATATTAAATACCTAACAACTAGAGTATACATAAGTCTACAACTCCACTATTCTAATAGGCTTTAAGCAGCACAACAAGCCCGGTGAGCTCGAAAGCACAATTAGATAAATAAGGTGGAAAATGATCACATTTATTGAACTGAAGATAGGAATGCAGATTCAATATATCTAATGGTAAGAGCATACGAAAACCATTATAAAATTAACTCGGTGTTCTGTAAGATACTAGACTATGAAAAGGGATCGACTCCATTAAATAGAAGGGAACTTTAAATTCCTAGAACTCACAAAACGAATCCATAATGATCCAAGTGAACAGCAGATCCTTGTGCTTTGCATTGAACCTCACTTTTCAGCCTTTTCAACACTTTCATCATTTTCGACAATATCTTTCTCGTAACGACGTTTGAACTTGGCAATCTGCCCAATACTTTCAGCTAATTGACGCCTTGCTCTGAAGTGGTAGACTTTACCAACATGGTGTATCTTGGTCATCATAACGTGCATCAATCTGCCACTCTGTGTGACATATGATATCCACTGCATTTGAGGGTGCAAGCCTTTCTTCATTGTATAGATCTGAAATCATAATTAGTACTTTAGCTTCTAAAGAAAATAGTTTAGTTCTTAAACTTAAAGTTTCCAGAAAAAGAACTATCTCAGTAAAGCTGCATTTGAATCAAAACCCACAAGTTTCCATTCTCAATTGACAACCTTGTCCTGTTTATACGTGGGGAAGCTACGAACGATGAACATGTACAATGCAGCTATACCACTTACTAGAGGAATTTCGTCAAACATTTGGTGGGCTGTGTAATGTTCAATGTTCATCATCCCCAATGAGTAGAAATTCGGAAGTGACAGCCACATTGAAGGGAGATGAAGAAGTGTGGCAAGTTCAAACATACCATTTTATTGAAGAATTTCATCAAACATTGGCGGGCACTATGCAAAATTCAACGTTCGTCGCACCAAAAGTGCAGAACTAAGAAAGCGATAGCCACACTAAGGAGGAATGATCTAGGATGAACAAGTACAAATATACCATTCATAGAAGAATTTCATCAAACGGCTGGTGAGCATTGCACAGTCTACAATAATCGTAACCCAAAAGAGTATCAAACTTGAAAATCACCACCACCACAATGCGACTGTTAAATACTTCACGATCCTAAACCCTAACTTGGCCGCGTAATGATGTGCAGATACTTCCTCAGCAAGTAAAAGGATTAATATAGATGAAACATAAATTTCTCGATCGAGCATACAAATAGGTAACCCTAGAGAAAATCATTCACAAAAATCAGATATTAACAACCACAGGGCAGTGTCAAATTCCACCACCAAGGCTGTGATTTTTAAACTACGTCCGTTTCTGAAAACATCCACGAGATAGCATTTACAATTTAGGTTGAATCAGTAGAACGAGTAAAGAGATGACCAATCTCGCCAAATCCACCACATCTCAAGCAAGAAAGAAGATTGGAGAGAGAGAGAGAGACAGTACCTTGAGTCGCTGAATGAAGCGGAAGCGGAAGCAGATACCGGAGATTGTAAGAAGAAGCTCTCTTTACTCTCGACGGGCGGCGGCGGGGAAGGTAGAAGATGAAGCGAGTTGTTCAATGACTCTGATGTCCTCAACCAGAATGGCAACACATTTTGATGGCGTGAGGGTATTTTCGTCAACTTCAAATCATAGTCCGATCAGTTTGGTTGTGATTTATTAGGGTAGGATTTTTTTTTTTTTTTTTTTTGGTGAAATTTGAATATTATATTTTTAGCATAAATATATTTAATTAGCTGAGGTATACTAAGCTCGGTATGGAGACATTCAACGGTTAAACAGGGAATGAACATCTTAACGAGTTTTTTTTTGTTGTTTAAACCGAACTAGAGGTGAGGAATATGATTAAACTTCGGAAGGTGATACTCCTTTCGATATAGGAATGTTATTTTCTCGGTATGGATACGATTTCACAAAACCCGTCCTTAAAGGGGTGAGAACTCCTCGGTTAAATAGGGAATGAAAGCTTTAACGAGTTTTTTCTTGCTTAAACAAAAATAGAGAAGAGGAATATGATTCATGGTATTTAACTCGCTGAACTCGGTTGGGACTGGGAAATCGATGCTAGTTACACTTTGAAAACATAGAGGATTGTACACAAGTCCGGTCAGGACAGGTTTAGGTTTTCGGACCAAACTGAAAAATCTGGGTTGGTTGTTTCTCTAACCCATCCAATGCGAGTTTAGATCGAAACCTAACCCAAGTCTCACAATGTAACAGCTTAAGTCCACCGCTAACCGATATTGTCCGTTTTAGCACAGTTTTTAAATGTACCTGTTAGGAAAAGGTTTCCACACCCTTATAAGGAATGCATAGTTACCCTCGCCAACCGATATTAGATCTCACAATCCATCTTCCTTGGGGGCCCAGCATCCTCACTAGTGCACTACCCCGTGTCTGGCTCTAATACTATTGTAACACCCTAAACCCACCCCCAATAGTTATTGTCCGTTTTGGGCGGTTTCGTATCGTGGTCAACCTCACGATTTAAAAACGAATCTGTTAGGGAGAGGTTTCCACGTCCTTATAAGAAATGGTTCGTTCCCCTCCCCAACCGATGTGAGATCTAACACACAATTTCGAGTTGGGTTGGGTCGGGTCATTTCATCTTATCGTAAATTTCATTTACAAATTACTAGGAAATTATGTGACCCATTTATACAAAATTACTGAATTTAGTATGTTTTTCTGTACCAAGAACTAACTGTCAGCTGTACTCATAAACCCACCCATAAAACCAGCTCCATTACAGCCCCCACACAGGATGTCCTTTTTGCCACTGCAATGTCAAACACATTAACTACTTTAGAACCTCAAATTTAATAGTTAATAACACGATAATCCCATCAGATATCTCGAAACAAACGATGGTTACAATTGAAATGACCCATAGATGAAATGGTTTATGGCAACTCGAGTATAGTTCAATTGGTTTATGCATGTATCAGACTAAGATGCAATGGTCATACAAACGTGGAATTCTCGTATCTTAGGATACGGGCACGCTGTAGGGAGAGTTCTTTTTAAGTAGATGACTCGTTAGGGCCATCGGAACGGGACTTTAGGTCCATAGAACATACGCTCGACTTTTTTAGCTTCGGGTTACAGTAGAGCAAGGAGAGTTTGTTCATCAATACCTGCAGAGCCAGCATGTGCTACCAGCTTTGAACTGTCCATTGAAATGATCCACTGAATTAACTCCTGTTCCTTTACACTGAGAACATAGAACAGCACCTGAGAATTGAGAAGAAAAAACATATGTAAACTAAGCTCAAGCTCTCTGATTTTACTTCAAGGGAAAAGGTCAGAGGAGAGAAAAACTGTGCCACAAGCAACCAGCTGAAAGTAACCCAATCTTAGAGACTACTAACACAATCTAAGAAACGAGGAACCTGGAGGGACGGGTCGGTCGGGTCTTTCCTATTCTGTTCCCACCACGAGAAAGACGCATAAAAGAGGTATACCCAGTGTCATGGTCATACTCGTCCAGGGCGTGTTGCCATGGCCGCATGCTCATGTCACGCTGAATCCTTTATTTAATTTCATGTTGTATTGCCTTACTATTTGTATGGCTACTCGGCGAAATCATGTCTAGGTGTGCCAGACCTAAATCACTTCAAAATGTACTATAGGGGGGCGTGACTAGCTGTCAACTCCTTCCCCTGATTTTGTATGAATGTTCGGTGAAATCATGTCTAGGTCTGCTAGACCTGAATCGCCTCAAAATGTAATATAAGGGAATGCGACTAGTTGTCAAATTCTCCGTACCCAAAAAGTTATATGTCGTTTAAGCTATTGTGTTGCCTTTTGCTAATAGTTATATAACGTTGCTTTTAAATCTTCTCTCATTCTTACTTTCTGACTCGCTTTCAAAAATTTCTCTACCCTGTTTTCGAAAACCTTCTTCTCAAACGAGGCTAGAGGCTTGAGCATACGTTGCTCGATCATAGGTGACGTGAATACAAACTGGCTTGACTCACTTAGTGTTAGGAGTGAGTGCCGCACAATCGCAAAGTCCACTGCCAAGAAAAGTGCGATTGTGACATACAGCTCAAGGAGAATCATCCAAGAACCTTGGAGACATGGCCCCAAGAATTGAATATGTAGAAGAAAACAGTACTAAGAGAAATTGACACCAGAAACAAAGAAAGAAAGGCTGCAGCAAGCCACGGACAAAGGGGATACGGTCGTAGCGCCATTCCCGGCGTCCCGATACTGACACCGTTGCATGTCACGGGTCTAATTTATGGTTGTACCATTCAAAAGTTTGAGTGAAATGTTGGGAATTTAAGCAGAAGAACCATATATTAAGTGGAGGAATAAAGATGGAGGTCTATATGTTCTATGAAGATAACACTCACCATTTCCATTGCAGTCAGAACAAAGTATGCTTTTGTTTTTTCTGGTTTGGTTACTATCTGCACCATCTGAAGCCTGCCAAAGCAACATTAAAACACATTCTCAGAAACTGAAAGACGAGTAAATTGTGTTCGAAAGCACCTACCGTTAAATGTTGTTCTCTTTGGGTTTTTCCTTTCGGGCTTTCTCTCAAGGTTTTTGAAATGGGACTACTAAGAAGAGATTTCCACACCCTTATAAAGAATGTTTCGTTCCCCTCTCCAACCGACGTGGGATCTCCCAATCCACCCTCCTTAAGGGTCCAGCGTCTTCGCTGGCACACCGACTGATTCTAACACCATTTGTAACAGTCCAAGTCCACCGCTAGTAGATATTATCCTTTTTAGACTTTTCCTTTCGGGCTTCCCCTCAAGGTTTTAAGAACGTGTCTACTAAAGAAAGGTTTCCACCCCCTTATACGTAACGGGTCAAAAGGGATAATATTTGCTAGCGGTAGGCTTGAATTGTTACAAATGGTATCAAAGCCAATCACTCGACGGTGCGAAACACTGGTTGGAGTAGAGGTACACTCTCTCTATAGAAGACGTGTTTTAAAAACCATGAGAGGGAGCTAGCTCAGGGTTCAGGGTTCAATTTGTAGTTCGACAATCCACTAAAGTTGCAACAAATTGCCCACAAGACAGACATAACCAAACAAGTTCATTTCATTTGTAGGAAAGAACTGGCCAGAGAAACCATACCTTGGCAGCACAAGGCAAAAGCCTAATGGGGTTTGTGCTTTGGAACGCCTCATTTATCCGAAAAGCCTTATGAGGCACTGAATTGGCAGCAAAAATCCCATTCAGAATGTGAAAAGAAAGGGTTATAAACAAACAGACACAAAACCAGGCAATTTATGCAGAGAAAAGTGCATAAAGAGATGATTTGGAGAAGAAAATACCAGACGTGGGCTTGCTCGAGGGATTGAAGGAGCAAATGGGTGTGGAAGAACCCACGGAATATGCCATTTAAATGGGGTTTTGGATTCGAATTTGTTCTTGAGGACTGAAATTCAGAAGCTTTCTGATGAGCTACTCATCTGCTTCTGCTGTGTGTGTGATGGTCTTGTCTGTGATTTAGTTGGTCGGAAATTAAGCAAATTTAACCAGATAAGGCTCATAATCCTCTCCTACTTAATTACCAAATTGCCCTCTAAAGCTTAATTTTACCGTGAAAATACACATTTAACCCTAATGAATAATGGAAACAAATTTGATGAAATTTCGAGGAAAACCAAGACAACAATTGGATTGTATTGAACTTTTTTTTTTTTAGTGGTTGATCACACTTTACTCCTCCGAGACGACTTTTTTTTACAGCGGATTTTGCGATTGTGCGACACTCACTCCCAACACTGAGTGAGTCAAGTCAATTTTGGATTCGTGTCACCTACATTTAGACAACCTATGCTCAAGCCGGTCAGACAACGTACACTCAAGCCCACCACTAGCAAATATTGTCCTTTTTGGGCTTTTTTGGGCTTTCCCTATCGGACTTTTTAAAAACCTTCAGGATCCAGCGTCCTCGCTGGAACTTGTTCCCCGAGATCTCACATACTAAGTCTATTGTTACCCTTTAATCGTTTTATAATCTTCTCATAGCTTCTTATGGGAAAAGTCATATCTTGTACTATGGTAACATGTAGAACAAAATTGAATACAACCAACTTGATGTAGTCAATTTGTAGCATGGACTGAAATTATCTGTTGATATGTCGATATATTTCCACCTTCACATGTTGTTCAACTAAGTTTAACGAAAATGAAGACTTGCTTCTCGAGGCTTACTAGAATGAGTAGTAACTAAAGGAATCAACAATACTGAATTCAGAACCACAAATAGGGAATTGCTCAGATCACGAGTTAACTCGTGGTTTCCAATTATCGAATGTTTTAAGATAAGTTTCGAATCTAGTGAGAAAATGAACGTTATCGTGTCTACAATATCTACTACTAGCAACAAACCGAAGAATGCTACAATCAAAATGTCATGAACCGAAAACATCCAGCGTGAACAGCAAATGAAGAACCGGTACGATACGATTCAATTCATCCAATCCAACCATCACTTCAAACTGCAAGTCTCAAGGGCAGCTTCATATACTATAAGAGCTTACATGCTTCATCAGAGCAGTTGAGATGAAAAATGGCTCGTTTGCAAGACCGTCCTCATACCGTGTTTGATCGTCGAGATCCCTCAGGTTCATTGTTCGCTATGCAGGCTTTGCAAAAGAATTTCAACCAGTTTTTGTGCAGTGTGCATCTGTGCCATGTTGGGTGCAATGATCATAACCTACAGAATGAAGGAATTCTCTGATCTCCTTTGAACTACTATTACTGGCTTTTAGCAGTCGTTCATCTTCCTCATAGATGAGATATGGGGCTTCAGTTCCCTTTCTAGACAAGATCTTCTTTGCCCCTTTTAGCACATGATATTCCCATCCCTGAACGTCAATTTTTATTAGGAGAACCCGTTCGGACTCGGGGATTACTTCATCTAGTGGTATCGACTTCACTTGAACTGCTATTTCTTCATTAGATTTGAATGCCAACTTTGCTCCTGTTGCTGAAACAGCACTGTTGTCAAGCCGACCAACCAGCTGGGTAATGAGCAAAAGTCAGTGAAAGAAGCTTACAGAAAACAAACCAGATCAGGATGGCTCAATGCCCCCACTTCCTTAGAACAGCAAAGAAATCAAGAGCTTTGTAAATTGTATATATGACCAATGACATGAGATTGGACTGAATGACACCAATCAAGTTTCACTATGCTGCTGGAAAAACACATGAGCTGCCCCCATGAAAAACAAGTTTAGCTGATGTTTTCTGTCAACATCTCGATTCCAAAACGGAATACACTACTAAGGAGGGTGGACACGAGGCAGTATGCCAGCAAGGACACTGAGCCTCAAATGAGAGTGGATTGGAGGGTCCCATATTGATTGGAGAAGGGAACGAGTGTCAGCGAGGATGCTGGGTCCCGAAGGGAGGTGGATTGTGAGATCCCACATCGATTGGGAAGGAGAACAGAGCATTCTTTGTAAGGGTGTGGAAACCTCTCCCTAATAGAGAAGTTTTAAAAACTTTGAAGGGAAATTCGAAAGGAAAAGCCCAAAGTGGACAATATTTGTAAGTATATCAAAACTAGATTCACGAAATTCGTGAGATTTTAAAACCCAAAGTAGATAATCATCCTGCAGTTCGAATCATACCCTGAATTTCTTCTACTTTTTAAACTTGTCGATCATTCCATAACAGTTCGAGAAGACACCTGACCTTCTCATTGTTCGACTTAATTCAAGAAGAACATCTAAAAGGGTTTTCGAGGCACTACGACATACAACCGGTTAGCAATACGAGTCCATTAGAATCATTAGAAGACTAGGAGGGAAAATTATCATCAGCAAGAAAATGGCTGGTGAAAGGTTAACACAATCATATGGAATTGACTTAAACAAGAAAAACAGATCTCTAAGCCCACAGATTTTGACCTCTCCTCAATGCACCTATGGCTAAGTCGAAGCATTTTCACAGTAGTATACATAATTTGATAGACTAACCAGCTTTTTCATCCACAAAATAAACCAGTTCTGAAGCATAATAGGCGAGTTATGTAAACACTAAATCTTCAACCCGCCCGCGCATATTTAGAGAACAACATTTTAAGAATCTGGTATGATATTGTCCACTTCGAACATAAGTTTTCATGGCTTTGCTTTGGGTTTCCCCAAGAGGCCTCGTACCAATGGAGATGTATTCCTTACTTATAAACCCAGGATCATTCCCTAAATTAGCCAATATGGGACTCCCTCTCAACAATCCTCCCCTCGAACAAAGAACACCATAAACCCTCCCCTGAGGCCTATGGAGCCCTCGAACAGTTTGCCCTTAATCGAGACTCAACTTCTTTTCTGAAGCCTTCGAACAAAGTACAACCCTTTGTTCAATATTTGAGGATTCTATTGACATAACTAAGTTTAGGGCATGACTCTGATACTATGTTAGGAATCACAAACCTCCACAATGGTATTGTCCACTTTGAGTATAAGCTCTTATGGTTTTGCTTTTGGTTTCCCCAAGAGGCCTCATACTACTGAAGGCGTACCCTTAATTAGCCGATGTAGGACTCCTTTCCCTATAATCCTCAACAATCCTCCGCTCGACCAAAGTACACCATAGAACCTCTCCTGAAACTTATAGAGCCCTTGAACAACCTCCCCTAACTCAAGACTCAACTCCTTCTCTGGAGTCTTCGAACAAAGGGTGCAAAGTACACCCTTTGTTCGACACTTGAGAATTCTATTGACATGACTAAGTTAAGGGCATGACTCTGATACTGTGTTAGGAATCACGAACCTCTACAATGGTATAATATTGTCCACTTTGAGCATAAGCTCTCAATGCTTTGCTTTTGGTTTCCCAAAAGGCCTCACATCAATGGAGTCGTGTTCCTTACTTATAAACCTATGATCATCCTCTAAATTAGCCAATGTCGGACTCCCTCCCAACAATCCTCAACACAACACCAGCATCCGCATGCAAAGTTTTGAGATCCAACGGAATATAATCACAAATGAGACTGTAAAGATTGATTTTATGAAGCAGATAATACCTTATGAACAGTGATGTTCCCAAGCCTATCAGATGCAGCAGCCTCAAACACATTCACCAATTCCCCAACCCTATTCAGATAAATTCCATCACAAATTCTCTGCAAATTTTCAAAAACCGGCTCAAATGCCAAAACACGAAAACCCATCGCAGCAGCAGCGAAGCTCGCCATTCCCACATTAGCACCCACATCAACAACATACCCATCTCTAGAATCGCTCTTCATCTTCTCCAAAACCTCCTGAATCGTCACCGAAATATCCGGCTTACGAAAGGGCTTTCCCTTCAGCATCCTGACAATGTTCTTGTGGGGCTTATCGGGCAAATTCCCCAAATCCGCGATCGAAAACAGAAACGGATATCGAACTCCTTCCACAACGTTGGCGATAACCGGGAAGGATTGAGGGCATTTGAAGCAATCGAAGGGAGAGATTGATCGGAAAGGAAAATCGGGTTTGATTGTGAAACTAGGAGTGGATTGCTCTGAAGGATTCGAGTTACCGAAGAGGAAGAAGAAAATGATGAGGATGCAGAATGAAAAGAGGAAGAACAGAGAAATGGGCGAGAGGAGTTTGGGTGCCTTGTCTCTTTTCCAGGCATTAGCCATGGAAATGTGAGATCAAACTGAAAAACTTCTGAAGGAGATTGAAATGGAGCCTGGAATAAACTGTGAAGAACCTGAGATTTCTAGAAAGTTAATCGCAGATCTGTAAAGAAGCCGAAATTTCCAGAAAATTAATGGCAGATCTGTGAAGAAGCTGGATTCTTTCTAATTCTGGCGAGAGAGTGAGTTGTCCAAGCAAAGGAGATGAATTCTCTTACCCCCAAAATCAATAAAACCAAATTAATAAAAATGGTTGGAGGGTGAAAGTCTGGCGATCAAGAATTTATAATTAAAACTTGACAATATAATACCTTACCATTGCGGAGAGTGTTGTCGTCTATCATGGTGTCAGAGTTATGTCCTAAATGGACAATATAATATCATTGTGGAGAGTCGTGGTTGTCTACCATGGTATCAGAGTCGTGCCAATAGATTGGTAAATTCTCAAATGTCGAACAAAGGACTCCAAAAGAAAAGAAGTCGAGTTGAAATGACTAAGACTCCAAAAGAAAAAGGTTAGACTCCTTTTCTTTTGGAGTCCTTTGTTCGACATTTGAGAATTTATCAATCTATTAACATAACTAAGTTTAGGGTATGACTCTGATACCATGATAGACGAACGCGACTCTCCACAATGGTCTGCATAAGCTCTCACGGCTTTGCTTTGAGCTTCCCCAAAAGGTCTCACTCAAATGGAGAGAGTATTCTTTGTTGTCAACTGTTCTGGGGTTCGTGTCATTATGATGCTATAACCAGAAGTCTAATGCTTTCAGTTCTAAGCTTCGATTAAGAGGAGACATACTTTGTTCGGAGGGAGGTGTTGGATGATTTTAAAAAATTCGACAATATTCTTAAAAAAAAATAAATAATAATAATAATAATAATAATAAATAATAATAACTTTTAAGGAAATTTAATAAATACCCTTCAAATTAAAAAAAAAAAACTATTTGAAAAATATTCATAAAATTTTAAAATTATTATTAACACAATTTACATAGAAAAAATTTATAAAAATTCTTACCGTCAATATATAGATCCACGAGTTTAAAAAGACAAATAAATATTTTAAAATTTTGGATAATCTAAATAAAATAATAAATTAGAAGACAAAAGAAAAAGAAAAAGAAAAAGAAAAAGAAATAAAAAATAAGAAATTCTTTAATATCTTAAATTAAATTTCATTATAAAACCCAAGTTTAGAATCAAAGCCCAACGAAATTTCAATTCAGAAATGGGCTTCTGTAGGCCCAACATGCGTTGAAACGAAGAGCAAAAGCCCATTTTCCTCGGCCCATAACTGTTCTTTTTCCCGGGTGAATCCATTCTTTGAGATTCTCGTCAAAATCCCATCGGTTTCACCATTTTCTTCCTCAAGTTCCGTTTTCAGCTTTCGATCTGAGATCTTCAGTTTGGCCGGAAATGGGGAAAGGCGGAGCCATCTCCGAGAATGTTCTGAAGAAAGTCCTCCTCTCGTACGCATACGTCGCGATATGGATCTTCCTCAGCTTCTCTGTCATCGTCTACAACAAGTTCATTCTGGATCAGAAGATGTACAATTGGCCCTTTCCGATCTCTCTCACCATGATCCATATGGCCTTTTGTTCCTCCATCGCGTATCTTCTCGTCAGCGTCTTCAAAGTTGTGGAGCCTGTGTCGATGTCCCGCGAGCTCTACTTCAAATCCGTGGTTCCTATCGGAGCTCTGTATTCGCTTTCCCTCTGGTTTTCTAATTCAGCGTATATCTATCTATCGGTTTCTTTTATACAGATGCTCAAGGCTCTGATGCCTGTCGCTGTGTACTCGATCGGAGTTACGCTTAAGAAGGACAAGTTTAAGTCTGATACTATGGCTAATATGGTTTCGATCTCGCTTGGTGTTGCGGTTGCTGCGTATGGAGAGGCGAAATTTAATTCCAAGGGTGTGACTTTGCAGCTGTTGGCGGTCGCGTTCGAGGCGACTCGATTGGTGATGATCCAGATTTTGTTGAATTCCAAGGGTATTTCGCTGAATCCCATCACGTCGCTTTACTACGTGGCTCCGTGTTGCTTGGTTTTCTTATCTGTCCCGTGGTTAATAATGGAGTACCCTTTGTTGAGGGATAATTCGAGCTTCCATTTGGATTTCGTGATTTTTGGTACCAATTCATTATGTGCTTTTGCTTTGAATCTTGCGGTGTTTTTACTGGTCGGCAAGACATCTGCTTTGACAATGAATGTTGCTGGAGTAGTGAAGGATTGGTTATTGATCGCATTCTCCTGGTCTGTGATTAAGGATACGGTGACAGCCATTAATTTGTTCGGTTATGGGCTCGCCTTCTTAGGAGTTGCGTATTACAACCATTCGAAGTTGCAGGCACTCAAAGCCGCGGAGGGTCAGAAAAAGGCTCAGCAAGCAGACGAGGAAGCTGGTAGGTTGTTGGAGGAAAGAGAAGGGAATGAAAGGAAGATTGATAGTCAAAAGTAGGCGACTGACAGGCTTGAGCCTTTACGAGGAGTTGTGCAGAAGAGAACATTTCGATGGTGTTGAAAAGTAGCTGCGATAATCGAATTCATATCTCAACTAAGTTTTCGAGTTTTGGGTTAGGTATGCGTTCTTAGATATATTATTTTTTTTGGTTTCATCTATTTATTATGGGGTTGATGGGGTTGATGGGGTTGATTTAGTGCCTAATGTTGTAGTACAGAATCTATTTCTTTGACTGGAGAATGAACTGTTGTGGATGTTTATGGGATTGAGCTTCCACCAAAATGTTTAACTAATATCTACTATTATTTATGATGTTTTGGTATTGTTTTGAGGCCCATTTCTAGAAGAACACCCCCCGTTCCCAAGGCACCACGCTGATTTTAAGTGCAACACTGTTATGCTCTTACATCATATGCTTATAGGCATTAGAACAGCCTCCACTAGGCACTAGAACAGCTTCCACTAAGTCTCTGCACCTACCCTTTTTTGTTTCCGGAAAATGGATTTGGCTCAGGATTGCCTTATAGAATATCAAAATGAAAATAGTGATTTGGGAATGGGGATTTAAAAGAGATCAAGAAAGAGTTCAGCTTTAGCAAATTCAACATGAGAATATCCATTGAAATTGGGATCTTCTTATCCTTATAAAATGATCCCTGGTCAATGAAGAGCTCTTATTTATGCCCACTCTTTCCTCTGCCAATCATTAAATCCACGCTATGGAGTAATGTGGAATACAAGAAAAAGCTGAACAAACCCAAAATCTAGCTTAGTTGACTAGCATTTCTCAGCAGCAGATCCCTCATTTGTAGTAGTTTCCATCGCTAGAACTTGTTTGGGTTTCTGTGGCTTATACCATATTGCACAAACTAAAAATGCTACAAAATTTATGGCACTCAGTGTAGCTAGAAGCCCATAGAAACAATCTAGCCTAGCATAATTTATGTTGTCTGCAAGCCATCCCTGTCCATCCTTGCTCCCTGTCACCCTCTTCACAACTGCGACCAGAAAACTACTAAGAAAAAACCCAAGTGATAAAGTTGTGAGGAAGAGGCCAGTGCTCAGAGATTTCATTCCCTTTGGGGATTGTGTTATGAAGAAATCAAGCTGGCCAGTATAGATGAAAGCTTCTGCAGAGCCCACCAAGAAGAATTGAGGAATCAGCAAGAACACACTTAAAGGCAAGGTTGCTGTGGATCTACCCACAGCTTTAGCCACTGAGAGTCGTTTCATCTCGACTAAAGCGGCAGCTGCCATTCCTAAAGTTGACAGGATAAGTCCTATGGCAATCTTCTGTAGGTTTGTAAAACCTGTAAAAAAAAAAGGACGAATCATGTTTTCCAAGGTTCCTTATTTTATGCATATGGATAGGCACCCTTAGAATTAACTGAACTCGTAATCTAGTTCTTGAAGATTAGCTTGCTTTCTCCAAGAGGTATGCTCTTCTTAAACTTTGCAACCTTCAATAAAGTTGTGGTAATTCATTGGAAGTTCATTTCAGATCTTATTATGTATTTGATATTTTTACTTTTTTAAAAATTACCTTCATTTCCAAATGTTACTACTAACAGTCACAAAACCTTTAATTTTATGTGCTCTCGCAGATTAACTATTCTGAAAAAACTTTAGAGATGACAAAATTTCTGACAACAACCAGGAATCTCGGTTAGACTACGAACATGGGCAGAAATAGATATGTAAGGTTTTTTTTCTCTGATTTAATTTCGAGAATGGGAATGGAGGATACTACGAAAATTCTATATTTAGCCAGTTATAATCTCGGTTCGACTTTGTTGGATTGGAGCCTTTTTTTTTTAATTAGTTGGGAGCCCCATTTTTCGTTGGATGTTTTCTGTATGGCCTTTTTTTTTTCCTCAATGAAAACTTGGTTTCTTACCCAAAAAAAATAAGATTCCATCTTTACCTGGTTGCCCTTTCCACTTCTTCCAAAGAGGCATGACAAGACGGTCATAAAAGGTCAGCGTGATCAATATGGCTGCCACAAAGAAAACAGTTAGAGAACCGGCAGGGATTTGGAAAGCCCCTAAAGATCTTTCCATGGTCGATGCCTGCACCACTGAGAAAGTGATCATCTGGGCATATGTAGTCCAGAAGATTATGGTTGTGGCCCATATTGGTAGGAGCCTCGTCATCATCTTCACCTCCTCTACCCTTGTTACGGAGCAGAGCTTCCATGGATTGTGTGCAGAGGTTACAGATTTCTCAAAATCTCCCTCTGCCACAATTGCAGCCTTGTCCAGAAGTCTAGAAAGAAAAAAAATACATTAATAGCCTACAAAAACTTACCCTTGTCCACATCTTTATTTACAGGATGTTCCTTTTCAAATCAACTTGTAAAGGTTAAGCCAACAAAACACATACTGGAATTGATTTGTGTGATCAACAGTTGATGTTGCAGCAGGATCCTCATATAGCATAGCATCATTGTGTGGAAGTTCCATCTTCCTCTTGTTTATTGCTGCAACAATGACCTGGAAGATATGAACTATTGGACTTCCCATGCTTTTCTTGTATCTATACCTCTTAGTACCACACAGGAATATCATAACTGCTGTGAACATTGAAACAGAACAAATTCCATAAGCCCAACTGCGTCCCACTTCATCTTGCAAGTAAACAAGCACTGTCACTGCTAGCAAAGTCCCACTGCTGACAAACAAGAAAAATCTGTTGAAGAAATATGCCATTTGAGCCTTCTCTTTGTCATTTTTCTCGTCAAATTGGTCGGTCCCAAATCCTGAAACACTGGATTTGAGACCTCCAGTTCCCAGAGCTATTAGGTACAGAGGCAAATAAATCATTCCCATTTGAAATCCATTAGCTTGCTTGCAGTTCTGGCTGGCACTAGGATCACAAGGAGGTGGATGTAATTGTGGTAGCTTTGTTATTACTGCTAGAGTTCCAGTTCCCTAATTCATTTTAGCAAATATGGTTGAGTTATGAAAAGACAAAATAAGATTGTCAAATGTCAAATTGACTGGAGAAAATCTATAATTACCAGTGTCTGTATTGAGGCAAAGATTGCTATTGTCTTGTATCTTCCAAGGAACGAATCTGCTAGAAAACCTCCAAGCAAGCAAAGGAGGAAACATGTTCCCATGAAATCTGTGACAATGTTGGCTGAAGTTGCACTAGGCAGATGCAATGTTCCCACCAAGTAAGTCACCAGATTGACAGCTATTCCCATTGTTGAAAGTCTTTCACATAACTCAATCCCTGTCCACAATTGAATGAGTCTGATTCAGTCGGTAGCAAAAAATCCATCCTCTCTAATGATTTTATATTTCGTTCCGTTATGATTTATTTCTTTATTTGAGTTTTCTTGGAGAAACAAGGATATCCAAAATTCACACCAGAAAGAGAACTTTTTATGTAGCCAAGGAATGTGCACTGCTATTAAATATTCTTCCTTTTGTAGAAAATCGAGTATAATTGAAGATGGGCAAAAGGAGTTGCATTTAAATATGTGCAAAAGATCCAGCTAGAATATTTGTCCTTTTCCCTTTCGAGACATAATGTCATGGACAGTACTATTTGAAGTTGTCTATAGCTTTGGTACCTCGTTAGGGTCTCATCCTCTCACTTCAAGAGGTCGAAAAATATTGATCGAAACTGAGATTGAGCAGGCTCTGAATGGTGAATGTAAACGTGCTAAAGATTTATACTAATCAAAACTTCATAAAACCCAAAATCCTATCTTTCTTGATTTAGATCAACATCTTTTCTCTGATTCTCTACGAAATTTGACCATCTTGGGTCATCCTTCTAAAACATCTCATAAACGCCATGGTCATGACTTGGATCTGCAAATGTAGCTGTTAATAATAGTTACATTGACCATCAAACTCGTTCAAACTCTTCTCACAACTAGATTAGCTATGTATTTCAGTCCGGACAAGGGAAGAATTTGAAGTTCTGGATGATCTAAGACTACGTTTTGTCCAAACTAGATAGCTAGGTGAGATATGGGAACATGTCAAACTATTCTCTTGGACAACCTTATTTAAATTCTTGAAGCTGGTTTTGGTTCAGTTCCCAGAAACACTTCAAGAAAGAGGTGTGTATCAGAGAGATGAGACAAAATGCAGTACCTACGATAAGAGCAGCAGGGACCCAACCACCAGTTTTAGACCGGTTTGCCGGAAACCCTTTGTAGTCCACAGCATCAGAAACTGTCAAACTTTGTTTTTCATCCTGCAGCCATTGAAAACTTTAATTAGTAAGAAGAAATATTTGAATATTATCCTATTTTGAATTCTACAATGACTGAAAAGAACTGACCATTCTTTGGTAGAGAATGTAAGCTACGAAGTGAGCCTTATGCTGCTGCTTCAGCTATTCTCCAACTCGGTTTGTTTATGTGCATTGGTGGGAACTTCCCATTATATAGACATTTTTTTGGCAAGTTAGATAACTACTAAAAGTATCTATTACAAGGCTGATACAGGTCATATTTGGTCATGATGCTCATTTAAAATTTGTTTCTTTCAAGAATGATATTTGCCAAAAATATCAGGGGGAATGTGTAAAGAAGAGATTGATTGTAAAGGCTACACGACAGGACAATGGGAATCTTAAAATTCAAAACCAATAGCTTTATCATTCTCTGTTCTATCAGGTAAGATCGGGTTTAATTTAAAGATTGTGAAATCAATGACACTCAAGACTTCCTGTGAGTGCTTTTGCTACCCCACTCACTAGCCAAATCCATCTGCCTTTCTTCTTCTATCGTCTGACCCGAGCAAATAAGGATAAGAAACCCAGAGGCAGGTAAGAACGGCCACTCAAGTTGTTGAAAATAAGTAAACATGATTCGGTGTATAATGAGTTTGGTAGAATAGTATTACCACCAAATATTTAAATCCTATAGGAAATGTGTCTAAGAATCTTGATATTGAATTACTGATGAACATGCTTTTTTGAGTTTTAAGTAGTTCTCATTGATTATATAGCTTACGTTATGCCAATGTAACTCCCAAAATTTTGAATATATTCAAAATGATTCCTGAGGGGTATTATGTTAGGCCTAAGTTAGCTTGTTGTTAGGGGTAAGTTAGCTTGTTGTTAGGAGTATTATGTTAGGTTATGGAGCCTGCTACTTATTTATAACATATGCAATGGTTATACATTGTAAAGCTATGTATGGTAAGTGACATATAAATTAAATGGTCATATTTAGTAAACAATTATGTATAGTTAGAGGCTATGATCATATATATGAGAGGCTATAGACATATATAGTAAACAATGTATAGTAAAAGAGGGTATATTTGGTAAAACTATATATAATAAACTGAGGTATACACATCTCCTTAGGCAGTGCTTTGAAGATTACTTTCTGGATTCTTTGTGTTCTTTCTTCTTCCGGTACATGGAGTCATCAATATAAACCTCTAGCCAATATTCCTCTTTGCATTTTCTCTCTCCTGTTTTTGTGTTCATCTAGATCGAGTATGTGTTGTTGTCCAATCCTCGATAGTCTTAGTAAAATCTAGAAGTTTTGTATTTCTTCCACATTTAAACAGGTTCTTACACTGCTCCCACTGTTGATCTCATTCACACCACCATCTTTCCAAGCATAGTATTGGAAATGTCTTATCCTTCTCATAGTATGATAAAATTGTCATTGGACTAATCATTTTCTCATTGACATCATTTATTTACAAGCTCACTTCAGAATTAGTGTTTGAAAACAAAGTTACTGTCAGTATTTTTCCACTTTAGGTAGCAGATTCTTGGTATCTGAGAACAGGGGGAAGGTTCTATGAGATGAGAACTACTGTAAGTTTATCTTTCAAGACAGGTGGAAGCATTGTTGAAGGCCATGTGAGTAGCAGATGATCATGTTATTTTAAGTCAGGCACATAATGATTGCTGTTGAATTGTTTCCAAACATAACATGTTAGTGGGATTAGGAGTCCCCTCCCAAACAAATTATTTGCTCAATTCTTTTATAGACAAATATCTGTGTATTCAGTACTCCTCTCTTGAACCATATAATTTTTTAGAACATTTGAAGTGAACGTTAAGATATTAGGGAATTTGCTTGCTTTCTTTCTCACTTCTATTCACTCTGCTTTGAAAAAAGGGTTTTGTAATTTTGTTCTCATAGTCACGGACAATATCTGACACACTGTTTAGGTTAAACTCTCATAACATTCTAATGGAGACTTTATTATGTTGTTCACCTTGTTAGTTAGCTGGTGTTTAGAATCTTGGTTGAAAATTGAGACGTAGAACGAGTGCGATATTGATTTAGAATAGCATGACAGTGATTAGATTCTCCAATTTTTATTTTAGGTCACTTACACGCAACTTTAGGTCCAATTCTCGTAATATTCTAATAGAGACTCTATTACACTGCTCGCCCTATTAGCTACCAGTGCTTGGACTCTTGGATGAAAATTGAGACGTAGAACAAGTGTAGTAGTGATTTAGAACACCGTGATAGTGTCGAGGATCTCCAATTTTTGTTTCAGGTCACTGACACAGTTTTAGGTCCAATTCTCATAACACTCTAACGCAATCTCTATTATGTTGCTTGCCCTGTTAGCTAGCTGGTACTTAGAATCTTGGATGAAAATTGAGATGTAGAACGAGTATGGTAGTGATCTAGAATAGCATGATAATATTGAGGTTCCTCAATTTTTGTTTTAGGTCATTAACACAGTTTTAGGTCTGATTCTCGTAACATCTTAATAGATATCTACTACAAAGGTAATTTTGAACTTTTTTAAAAGGTTAAACATAATATTCCGACTTTCGAAAGGATAATAATATTTTTTAAATAATTGACGGTATTTAATGTTAGAAGAAGATGACAAATGCAAAACGAAAATTGCAGCAATTATTAGATCAAAATGGGACAATTGCAAATTAAATATATATCAAAAGCTTGCATCCCTTTTTCTTTATATGCACATCTGCAACCAAGTTCTGACTCGTAGGGTACAAATACAACATTTGAGCTCAATGATTAGAAGCAAAGATTTGCTTTTTAGATGCTCATATCCTTTAAAAATGTTATTAAAAACCTCATATAATTTACACAATCTTTAACTACTTTACAAGTTTAACAAAACCCGACATGTGACACCCATTACAAGTCTCAATATGCCTGACACCTATTACAACTGGGACGTTTATTTGGTGTCTTGACCTCAAGCTATGTAGATCTTGACACCTCGTTCTTCGTAAATTCTCAAAGTGAATGTAGATCAGTAATTGACACTGTAAGATCCTGCATCAACTGGAAAGGGGAACGAGTGGACGGGGACGTTGGGTCTCGAAAGAGGGTGGGTTGTGAGGGAGAGAGAAACGAAACATTCTTCATAAGGGTATAAAAACTTCTGCCTAGCAGATATGTTTTAAAAACTTTGAGGGAAAGCTCCGAAGAGAAAGTCCAAAGAAGATAATATCTGTCTCGAAAGAGAAAGTCCAAAGAAAATAGCGGTAGGCTTGAGCTGTTACAGACATATACTCTTTTTTGAGGCCGAGAGTTTAAATCTAATTATTGTACTAAAAAGATAGAATAAGGATGAAGCAAATGGATGCATAGATAGACAGAGACACAAAAACAAAAAGAAGGCAGAAAATAATTTAGTACAATGCAATATCTTAGCTTTTGAATGTGGTGAGCACTTTCTTCATTACCAACAGACCAGAAAAAATGGAAATATCGTACAGCTTCATGCCATTACAGCAACATCCAACGTGAAATAAGTGGATAAAGTCCATAACATGACAATCAAATTAGGGCCTATCCCCTTTCGGTCTCCACTAAACTAAAAAGTTTGTCCGTCCCGCTCAGGACTATGCGATATTAAGAGTATATTTGAACTGACTTTCTAAACGTTTTAAAATATTTTTAAGTAATTAAAAACTCGATACAAACTTACCTTGATTCAACGATTTGCACGAGTTCTACTAGGAGAGGACTTTCTTCTCGTGAAATAAACATGTTTTCCCCCTCTCTCGCTCTTGATTTTAGTTAAAAAGGGAAGGAAAAAGAAAATCAAAATTTGGTAAGATGAACGAGTTTCCACGTACAATAATTTTTAAAAGGTGAATTATAAGTTTCATGTCAACATCATTGTATGAATTGGATAAGAACGACTTGCTTTATAAGATTGGAAATGAGAGGATTTTAAACCCTTAATGTGAATACCTCAGCCAAACTTTATCGAGAGATGATCCTAAAAAAGAAGGTATTTAAAACCATTTATAATGCAACATTATTCATTTATTTGAATCGTAATAAGTATCTACCAATCTCACATGACATCTATTTGACCTTACTTCATTTACTACGACTTGCTTTTCGAGAACATATCTCGCCACCCTTCTTTTCAAATAAAAAAAAAATATCATAAATCTTCGTTTGTGATTTTGTTGGAAAACTCCGAGAGAGTTTACTCGACCCATAATTCAGTCTCCCACATAACTCAAGAAAGTTTACGACTTCGTTACGACCTCTTTCCCTTCCGCCACTCTCTCCAATCACACCATTCTCAAAGGAGAGGATTTGTCTAAATTTCACCTTTTAAAGTAATTATAATGATAAATGTATTGATATGTATTTTGGTCACATAGATAAATATTATAAAAATGTATATAAATTACAAAAGGATAATTATTTAATAAGAGTTTAGATTACTTATATTATATTATTAAAAAGAAAAATAAATTAAACTATTTAATCAGTTTATTAGGAAGGCAATAAATTTAAAATATTTTAACAAGTTTAATAGTAATTTTGGAGGTGGGTAAATGTTTTAAAACTAAAGAATCGTAACAAACTAGTATATACGAGTTCCCGTTAAACTATGTTTATACAATCTTTATGAACGACCAAATCATATCATATCGAAGATATCTTAATAACCCAAATACCAAACAACCCATAGAATTAATATTTTTCGACGTAAGTGAGACATAAGTGAATGTACAAGAATTTATACATATAAACGAAAAAAAAACTACATATCAATTATCGCTAATAATTGCTAATCATTAGCGATCTAGGGCTCCTTTTTCCATGGCATGTGAAAGGTCAATAATTGAACCTTCTTTTCACATCTATAATATTATCAATAATGGTGAAAAAAGGCAAAGAGATGCTGATGAACAAGCCATGCTTCATTAATCAAATATAGGCAAACTCACAGGGATAAACATTAGCTTAAACTGTCATTAAAATTGTACGAGTGCTTTGTCTCATTCTTAATGGCAAAAAAGAAGCTCAATATATATAGGTTAATACCAAGGCAGTTTCCCCTAATTGCACAACAACTTCAGTCAAAGCCTCTGGAGTAGCGACCATGACGATCAAAGAAGCCCATCATACCGAACGCCATATAGAACACGCTTCAAATCAACAGCTTCTCAATGGCATCCTGCATTTAAGAAGGAAATGCACTGTATTATCAAGGGGAAATAGATACTTTAGAAAGATGATACCTCACAGAAAGATGAGGTAGTAATTACCTTCAGTTGCTGTATCTGAGATTTCAATTGGCTTCCCTCGTTTGTTGTTACAGAGCATGCAATTACAGGTCTAGTGACTCCACATGCTCGGCCAAGAGCTTGCTTTGAAGGGACAAATACATAAGGCACATTCTGCAAGTTTGGGTATAAAACCATTATATCATAGAGCAATAAGCACAATTTTTCATCTTGGAACATAAGATTCTATGATATTGAAGTCAGGAAAAGAAATCATCCTACTATTTGGTTCTTATAAGGACTGTATATGATCAAATATCTGCAAATATAACATGACAGTAAAAGGCATTTTCCCTCGAGATCTTTTACAAACAAACCATAATTGAATAATTATCAGCATGAGCCCAAAGATAACTGTTATGGGCGTATTAGAGTGATGTTAGCACCCCCTTACCCCTAAACAAAAAGGTTTTTCTAGGGCCCTCTTATCTCTTCCTTCTCCGAGCTTGGGTTATGGAAGAAGCCCCTCACGTAAATTGTTTGAATGGGATAATCAATCATTTGTCTATTGGCATGGACATAGCACAGGAAACTTCGATCCTCAAAAGGAGCGAAGCAACTTTACAGAGTGGGAGAGGTGAAGGAGCGAAGTAATGAAACCGATAGGGAGAGGAGCGAGAGGAGTACTCTTCGTAGCTAGCTCGCAGGTCTAACTCTATCCAAAACGAGACTCCATAACAAGGCAAAAGGAAAATTTTCATCTTTTACATCGTAGAATCCAGCATCAGAAGAAGGGTACAACTAAAGCTAAAGCAAACAGAAAAGTGGTAATATTGGGAACATCTGCTTGAATATAACCAGAAAGAACGATGAAACAAAAAAGTGCTGTTAACTATTGCGTCTGTATAAACGCCAAATCCTTGCATTGTTTACACTAAGGTTTCACTAGTTAAGAAACAGTACAATAAATAGCAGGGGAGATATGGGGATACTTCAATACGTTCATTCCCCCATTTGTCAAAATCTCTATATTAACAAGTAACAACAGAAAACCATGACTATCTACCGAAAGTTCAAAAAACAGATAGTTTTACCTTATCTTCAGCCAACAATGGAAGATGGAGAAGAATCTCAAGCGGCTCAGTATCAGCAGCCATCACTACAAACTCCGAAATTCCTCTATTCAGCGTCTTAGTGGCTGAAAATCCATCAAAAGAAAACCATTAACCAAGGGGAAAAAAAAATAACACAATACAAAATCCTCACCGAACACTTCTTACGAAGCCAGAACGTTGATCAAACGAAACACACAAACTTTAAACAAATCACGCTACCTTCATTCGCACCCTTCTTCAGCTGCTTGTAGTTAGCAGCTTGCTGAACAAGATCAAGAATAGTAATTGTGAGCTGCGCATCGGCCAAAGGATAGGCTTTGGGATTCACTGCTTCTCCTGTCTGCAAAAACACAACCACCATAAAAATCCATGCAAACGAATGAAACAAAGATCAACGTAAGTTCATCAAACAAACATACAGTACCATTTTAGATCCAAGAAGAAAGGTAGGGTTTTAACACAACGACAGCAGAATTCGAGGGAAACAAAATTAGGGCTTAAGAGCTACCGGTAAATTCTTGACGATATATGTATGGAAGATATAGAGAAGACTCATGGTCACTGGGCCGAGACCCTTGGACACTGACGTCTAAATTGGGCCCAAGCCCAATACATCTAACAAGTCCAGCCCAGTTTAGATCTTGGGCTTGGACCATATAATTGTACTTTTGGATCCACTCAGCCCATTATTTTAAAAATATAAATGTACCAAATAAAAATTAAATAAAAATGGGCTAAATTAATAAAAATACTCCTAAATTTATATTTTATTTCAAAAATACCCTTTAATTTTTATTTATTTTTTAACAATACCACTCAATTTCGAGGAAAAAAAAAGAATAATACATTTACCTTCCTACCCTTTTAAAAATTAAATAACAATTGGCTTAAAAGAACACATTTTAACTTTTTTTAAAAAAAAATAAAAATGGTAAAAGTATAATATTTTAAAACCCAAAAATCAACTAAAAATTAAATTAGCCGTAAAATGAAGGACTAAATAAGAATTTGATCAAATGTTAGGGACCAAAAAGAATATATTTTAAAAAAAATTTAATTACATATTTATTTTTGTGCATGAGGTGGGCCCACTTTGGTCATCGGCGTCAATAGAAATCAAGACGCTTGCGCAAACCGGGACGACTGAACCCGCGAAATCCCGAATAGTAAAAGCTCGAGAGAAGTTCTTCAAAATCAAGAAAAACCCAGTTTTCATTTCCATTGATCGATCGCATTAAACCCAATTGAAGAGAGTAGCCGACATGGGTTGGATTGGAGAGACCATCGAGTCTTTCAAATCCATCAAAATCAGGAAGGTTCTATCTCAGGCCGTCAGTTTTGGTATGTAAATTCAATCTTTAACATTTTGTTTACATTTTGCTGTTCATGAAATGAGCAATCTGCTGGGAAGTATTCGTTTGATCTTTCTTGATGATTCAAATTGATGGGGGTTTTGAACTGTTCTTCATTGTATGATTTAAGAACTGCGAGTTATTTTTAGACATTGGTAGTATGAATTTTCCCATTTAGTTTCTATAATTTTGGTCTAATGTGTTTCAATGTCTCCAGAATTTAAATTTGTGATAGTTAACGAAACGATGGATGTGGAACGCATGATGAACAAATATATATGCTAGTTTGACATGATTTGGAGATCAATGGTTGAAAGAAACGAACAATTAGATAAAATACAGTATCACAATCTTTAAACTGGATAGGATTTTGACTTTTTCAGTTCTATTTTGTTTTATCCAACTTACTCCTTTCTCCCAATCTCTATTTGTCCCGTCGTGTTAAATAGATACGTCCTTTCATGATTGTAACATTGCTAATGGTGAAAGTGTATAGAATCAAGGTGAAAGTGGTATAGAATGGTGAGATCCACTTTGATTGGAGAGAGGAACAAAGCATTCCTTATAAGGGTGTGGAAACTTCTACCTAATAGATGTGTTTTAAAATTGTGAAGCCGATGGCGATACGTAACGGGCCAAAGCGGACAATATCTACTAGCGGTAGACTTGGGCTGTTACAAATGGTATCAGAGTTAGACACCGCGCGGTGTGTCAGTGAGGACACTAGCACCCAAGGGGGTGGATTGTGGGATCCCACATTGACCGGAGAGTGGAACGAAGCATTCCTTATAAAAGTGTGGAAACCTCTCCTTAGTGGACGTGTTTTAAAATTGTGAGGCCGACGATGATATGTAACAGGCCAAAGCGGATAATATCTATTAGCAGTGGGCTTGGGCTGTTACAAGAATCATCGTTTAAAATTTAGAGACGTAAATGATTTTTAAGCTTTAGAACTAAATAGACACTGAGTGTAAAAGTTAAGCAAAGTTCAAGCACTAAATTTATAGTTGTAGTTCGATTATTCTTCGTTTCATCCCTGAAAGGAACATACATCTAGTCATGTAGGAATGTAGAAGAATGATTTAGCTGCTTTGGTTTTTATATTCTAACTCCTTAGTCCTGGTATTCATCTGCAATATGTATTTTTCTTCTTCATTCCTTTACTCTAAGAACAATATCATAATGTATCAGGTTTGATCGTTTCAATGGCATCGATGATTTGGAAAGGGTTGATGTGCTGGACTGGCAGTGAGTCGCCTGTGGTGGTTGTGCTCTCTGAAAGTATGGAACCTGGTTTTGCTAGGGTGAGCTGATCCTCTAAGACAATCAACTTCATTCTCTTAAGTAGATTGGTCCTAACTCTTAGCCATGCATTTGAAATTTTAAAAATCAAGTGATCTATCAAATATATATTTGAAGTTTATGTCTAAGTTCAGAGACTAAATTTGTAACGGCTCAAAGCAGACAATATCTTCTAGCGGTAGGCTTGGGCTGTTATAAATGGTATCAGAGCTAGACACCGAGTGGTGCGCCTGCGAGGATGTTGGGCCCCTAAGGAGGGTGGATTGTGAGATTCCATATTGGTTGGAGAGGAGAATGAACCATTCCTTATAAAGGTGTGGAAACCTCTCCGTAACAGACGTGTTTTAAAACCTTGAGGGGAAGCCTAGAAGGGAAAGCCCAAAGAGGACAATATTTGTTAGCGGGGGGCTTGGGCTGTTACAAATGGTATTAGAGCCAGATATTGGACGGTGTGCCAACAAGGATGCTGGGCCCTTAAGAGGGGTGGATTGTGAGATCCCACATCAGTTGGAGAGGGGTACAGAGCATTCCTAATAAGAGCATGGAAACCTCTCTCTAGTAAACGCGTTTTAAAACCTTGAGGAGAAGCCCAAAAGGGAAAGCTCAAAGAAGACAATATCTGCTAGCGGTGGTCTTAGGTCGTCACAAATCTCGAGGTTGAGTGACTAGATTTCCAATTTAACCTTCTAATAGTGCTTCATTTTGGTTTATATTCACCTAGCGCTGCTAGCATAGCATATCTGAGAATGCACAGTGGCCAAGCATAAATGGGGTAAGGCTTATGATAATTTTGTTATGGCTTCTTATGGGAGTTTTATCTGTTGCAGGGCGACATTCTCTTCCTCCACATGAATGAAGATCCAATTCGTGCAGGGGAGATCGTTGTGTATAAAATTGAGGTAAGTTTGCTCTCATGTTTCATGTACTGGTGTGATCATACATTTCTACACTGATTTTAGCTAGTTCTTGGATATAAAAGAATGTTTCATGTTTATATCTTCGGTTGTGTTTTATGAACCTCTTAACGTCTAATCGAGTCTTAAACTTCGTAGCCATCGTTCAAGTTCCTTGCCTAACATATCTTGCGTCGTATTCACATTAGTAAATCGTCTACTAATTTCCATTTGTAACATTTGCTAGGGACAGGTCATTCCAATCGTTCATCGTGTAATCAAGGTAACGTTTTTTTTACCAAGTTGGTAGTGGCTTAGCAGGAAACCATTCTTGTTCTTTAAAGCAAAACACATTTACATCAAATGTTATTGTTGTCAGGTCCACGAGACCAGAGATACAGGAGAGGTTTACATACTTACAAAAGGTACTTGAACTGAAACATGACAATAAAGTGTTCTCGCTAAATGTTTGGCAATGAGCTTTGCTCGTTTCTTGTGTGTTAAATCTGCAGGTGACAATAATGAATTTGATGACATTCTACTGTACGCTAAGGATCAGCTTTGGTTGGAAAGACAACACTTAATGGGGAAAGCCATCGGGTAAATTCACAAGCCTCCGTGGTTGTACTGCGTGGGTGCCTCTTGAGGGTCGCCGCTTTACTTGTCTCGACATGAGGGTCACAACCTACTCTCTTCATAGTATGATTGTGATATTCTCCTCTACTTAACTTAATCATCGTCCTCAATGACTTTCTCGGGGCACAAACGCATCGTAGATTGTGACATTCTCCCCCACTTAGCTTAGTCATCGTCCTCGATGAATTTCTCGGGGCACAATCACATTGCGGATTGTGACATTCTCCTCCACTTAGCTTAGTCATCGTCCTCATGAATTTCTCGGGGCACAATCACATTGCGGATTGTGACATTCTCCCCCACTTAAATTAGTCATCGTCCTCAATGACTTTCTTGGGCCACAATCGCATGCCTTCGTGGTTATACTAAGTGGGTGCCTCTAGAGGGTTGCCGCTTTACTTGTCTTGATGTGAGGGTCACAACCTACTCTCTTTATATTTATAGTATGGTTGTGGCATTCTCTCCCACTTAAATTAGTCAGACTTTTTCTGGGCACAATTGCATCGCAGATTGTGACATTCTTTCCCACTTAACTTAGTCATCGTCCTCGATAACTGTCTCAGGGCTCAATTGCATGCGTTCGTGGTTGTACTTGTCATTATTTTTCCAAAGTCTAACTATATTAAGCAATTTCATGTGTTGTTTAGAAATAAGGAAAGAAGAGTTTTGTTTTTGTTTTGCAGTTTCTTGCCATATGTTGGATATGCAACAATTATCATGACAGACATGCCTATAATCAAGGTTTGAAATTTGACTTGAAAATAGAATGGAATGAAAGACTGATATTTTGTTGTTCACTAACTTTTATTTGTTGTTATTATTGGTATTGCAGTACATAACTATTGGTATAATGGGATTGCTGGTCTTAACCTCCAAGGACTAGTGAATATCAGAATGGCTTTACTCTTTGATTTATACCCAATTTCAAAGGCAGGAAGCGTTTTGAGAATGGCTTTACTCAGATCATTTGTTTTTCATATGGAAATCAAATATAGAAACAATTCTATATTGCTTCTTGTAATACATACGTTTCAAAGGACTGTTCATAAACTTAGCTCCTAAATTTGCTCTTAAACTCTTTGATCTTGGCAAAAAAGACCAATTTGATCAACAAATTTGAACATCCCCCACAACAATATCGAAAAACATCAATCGTCAATCAATATTGCATTGGAGTATACAAATTTTCTTCAAGTGCTATAGGCCTTTTTCCTTAAGTTTTTTCGTGCACGTGCTTCAAACGGACTAATTAGGGTTAACAAATTAGAGTTTCTTCTAAAATCCAAAAGATTGGAAGCAGAAGATAACGATGCAAAAATTGGTTTTCTATATGGCAAAAGACTCCAAAAGAAACTTTGAAGATCTCTAAAACGAAACCTATGAACAAACTGACTATGAAAAATAGTGCCTTAACTCCTCAAGTACCCCTAGAGAGCTACAATAAATGATGGAGAATCGGGTTCATCACAAACAAAAATTATAGCAGAAATAAAAGATACAGCTAATGGTAATTCATCTTTTAACTTTGCTCATCTGCATCACCTGTCTCCGCCCTTTCCTCGGCAGCAGCTGCCATCAATTCATCGAAGTTTTCGGTTTTACCCAGCAAGATCTCGATCTGACAAGGTCAAAGTTACAATCAGTGTTCAAGAAGCTCTTGGAGAAAGAAAAGAACAAATTCATTGAGTTCCATGGTGATAGAAGAACACTAACTAATACGCTTTTGTTCAACATAAACAAGTAACAAATCCAACAAATAATGAATGTATAAAAGATTTTTAGGACCTCGGTCTCTTTTTTCGTACAAAAAAAAAAAAACACACAGATCATGCAAGTTAACGTTGCAAACCAGACTTGTCGATATTTTGATGTCCGAATGCAAATGGAACCGTGATTACTCTATCAGCCATTTTAAAAATTCCTACGTACTGAAGAAGGTTCAAAAGTTGACCTTCTCTAGTAAACGTCCCCTCGTTAGGATTTGTCGAGTATTTACCAATTAGGAGATCTTAAATATGCATGGGGGCAATCTTTACCTTAGCCTTCTGGACAGGTCGGCCTCTTGAGTCGTCCTTGATATCAACAGTTGAGGTTGTGATCTCTGTAAACTCGATGTTAGTCACTAAAAGGAACAAAAGTATACACTCTTATCTGAAAACGAGGAAGCCAGAAACCATACTCTTCTCAACAGCCAGTCCATTGTTTTTCAAAATTTCGGCAACTGTGACAACTGTGGCAATTGCTGCAAAACAAAGGTATGTTCATTAATGGAGTCAAGGATAAATTTTTATGGACAAATCATGAGTAAGTCCCAAAAAAAAAATACAATAAAGTTCATTCATTGGGATGGTAAAAATAGATAAAAGATGCACCAAAAACCAAACATGACTTATAATGGCCCAAGCCCACCGCTAGCAGATATTGTCCGTTTTGGACTTTCCCTTTCGGACTTCCCCTGAAGGTTTTTAAAACGCATCTACTAGAGAGAGATTCCCAAACCCTTATAAAGTATGCTTCGTTCTCCTCCCCAACTAATGTGGGATCTCACAATTCATCCTCTTTGGGGCACAGCGTCCTCGCTGGCACTCGCTCACTTCTCCAATCAATGTGGGACCCCCAATCCACCCCCCTTCAGGGCCCAATCCACACTGCCTCGTGTCCACCCCCTTTGGGGCTCAGTCTCCTCGATGGCACATCGCCCGGTGTCTGGCTCTGATATCATTAGTAACAGCCCAAGCCCACCACTAGCAAATACTGTCATCTTTGGGTTTTCCCTTTTAGGATTCCTCTCAAGGTTTTTAAACGCGTCTGCTAGGGAGGAGTTTCCACATCCTTATAAAGAATGCTTCATTCTCCTCCCCAACCGATGTAGGATCTCACATGACTCCTGCTGGAAAGTCTTTCAACAAATTTTCATCATTATGAATACAGAATTCCAGGTGATTATCAGTTATCCAAAAACTTGAAATTAACAAAAATAATATCAGTATGCATCTTCCAAACTTTTTCAAAACATCATTCACAGCACATTCCATTTAGTTCCAATAACACCACTCAAGTCCCCCCAGTTATCCGCATACTGTGGCATAGCACCCAGGTTGTGATGTGAGAAGTATAAGGTCGTCAGATCCAAGGAAGACTGAGAGCAAAACGGCAACAAGAAAGGCAACAAACTAATGGCAAATTGCACATTACTTTACTTAATCATGAACAGATAGTCCCGTAACTCAGAATTTAAAGTCCTTTTAAGGCAGACTTCAAATCAATTACAATTACACAGACCTATTAGTCGGGTAAAGGGCTTAAAGAACAAAATGGAAGCATAAAGCAGAAAAATTACCCATTCCAAGAGCAGAAAGTTCGACCACATCATGCTGCTGCATGTACCTCTACATTAAAAACCGAAAACAAAAATCAGAAACACGACGCATTATAAGAACAAATGGAATCGAAACATAGCGAAATTGCAAACCTTAGCGAGATTGACATAGAAGAACAAAGGTTTCTTGGTGTTGGAGACCTGAATCCGATTCTTCTTATACGAATCGGAACCCAAGTTCATGGAATCCACGCCTTCTACAATTTCTTCCATCAAGCTCCTCCTTCCTTCACCTCGCAAAAACCCTAAAACACTGCAACACAAAACCCAAAACCCTAGTTTTTAGGGTTATTGGAGGAGGCCAAAGGAACACAATTTCTGATGCAACACAAAACCCTAAAACACTGCAATACAATTTCTGATCTTTTTCTTGTTACTTCCTCTCTATTAACATTTCCTTGATTTTATATTATTTTATGTGTATGCGAAAGTACAATAATACCCTTCTTTCTCTGCTACTATTTTTTTTTTCTTTTCTTTCTAAATGGTTATTTATTATGGGTTTAAAATGTATTGCTTGAAATTTAGAAGAAAAAAATTTATGTAAATGAATATTAATGTAAATATAATGACTAAAATATACATGTTTTTGTTTATAATTTATAAATTTGAAAATAATTATTTAAAATGCAATGTGCTTTTCAACTTATATTTATATTTTGTTTGCTTATGTATAAGAGACCGACAACAATTAAAATATCAAATTTGAATTATTTTTTCAAGAAAATGGTTCGATTATAGCTTTTTGATTATGCCAAAATGAGGAAAAAAAGTGTAACGGCCCAAACCCATTGCTAACAGTATTATCCTCTTTCGGCTTTCCCTTCCAAACTTCTCCTCAAAGTTTTAAAACGCGTATGCTAGGGAGAGGTTTCCATACTCTTATAAAAATGTTTCACTCTACTCTCTAACCGATGTGGGATCTCACACTCCTTCGTGGCCTAACGTCTTCACTGGCACTCATTCCACTCTCCAAAGGGAGGTGGATTATATTGTCTGATCCCACACCGTTGGCAAGGGGAACGAACCATTTTCTATAAAGACATAGAAACCCCTCATTAGCATTCGTGTTTTAAAACATTGAGGGGAAGCTTAAGGAAAGATAATACCTGTTAGCACCAAATCTGGACGGTTACTAGCAGAAGAAAAAAAAACGTGTCCTCTTGATCAAAAGCAAAAAACACCTTTGAAGATGTCAAAGCAATCTACCCAATGCTTATTATATATCATGATACAGATGAATCAAGGAATTACTTTGCCTACTTGTACAAAAGAAATACAGAGGGTTATAATATAAATCAGCCAGTAAAGAACATACATATCTTTAATCAAGTTTAATGTACTAATATGAAGAGAAACTCTTCTTTAAGGAGACCAATTTGTTCGAGGTAACTCGGTCCTATAACGTGTATATTAATGTCAATAGCATCATCCAGATTCGGTCGACAAATTCCTTTCTTCCTTTTCGAGTCTGTTTAACCATTTGAGCCCAAGATCACACCCTGAGATTGCTGCTGCATTGAACTGTTCTCTAGCCCTCTCAACTGAACTCATAGGACCATCTGGGTTCTTTCTAGCCTTTCTGGTTGAAGAACCATTCTTTAAGCTGAATTTCGTTAGAGATTCGGGTACTTCAACGCCTAAGACATGCATATCAAAGGACTAAGGATGAGGGGTAGCTACTAAATTTGGCTCTATTTAATCGTCTAGTACTTCGATGCATCGATATGATGCGAACTCCACAACTTTCTATCTAAGATCATGATGTAGTTTTTATGCTTTTTTCTAAATAACGTTATGGAATATTTTGAATTAGTACCAACCTGTGGAGCTAGAGAAATTCTTACCTTTGAGAAGAAGAGATCCATATGCTATAGCTGCACCAGCATGACCCTGCGAACATGAGAAGCCATGAAGTTATTAGGCCAGTTAAAGTCATTGTCTACAACATAAATGTTCCAACAGTGTGCTAACAGAAAATTAAGAAACCAATGATTAATACAGTGATGGAATAAAAAGATTAAAATAGAAGAGAAAACACCGCTAGCAGATAATGTCCTCTTTGGGTTTTCCCTTTCGCGTTTCCTCTCAAGGTTTTTAAAATGCGTCTACTAAGGAGAGGTTTCCACCCTGATAAAGAATGCTTCGTTCTCCTCCCCAACCGATGTGGGGATCTCACAATCCTCCCCCCTTCAGGGCCTAGCGTCCTCGCTGGCACTCGTTCCCTCCTCCAATTGATGTGGGACACTCCAATCCACCCTGCTTTGGGGCCTAACGTCCTTGATGGCACATCGTCTCGTGTCCACCCCCCTTCAGGGCAAACATCCTTACTGGCACACTGCCTCGTGTCTACCCTCTTCAGGGCTCAACCTCCTCGCTGGTACATCGCCCAATTCTAGCTCTGATATCATTTGTAACGGCTCACGCCCACCGCTAGCAAATATTGTCCTCTTTGGGCTTTCCCTTAAAGTTTTTAAAATGCGTCTGCTAGAGAAAGGTTTTCACGTCCTTATAAAGAATGCTTCATTCTCCTCCCCAACCGATGTGGTATCTCACAAGTATATTATCAAGGAGGGCCCACACGTGTAATTGCACAAAAGCCCATGCTGTGTGAGGTGAATATCGGACGATGCTTGCCTGGAACTAGGCCGCAACCCAGTGCCAAGGTATGCAGCTTTTGAATTGTAGAGCCTATAATCATGATGAAAGGAATACATTATACTACCTTCTCTGAGGCTCGATGGAAGCACCATAATGCCGATGCAATATCTTGCTTCACGCAGTCTCCTGTCAGATATACTGCACCTAAAAGAAAAAGTGCACCTGGATGCAGCTAGAACATTGCAAGAGCAGGTAAGGTTTAATGCATAATTTGAAAATGTGATCTCTTTGAGCCTGCAATTAGGCGTCATACCTGGTCAACAGCCTTCTCCAGATAATAGAAAGCTTGTTGGTCTGATTGTACATATTTATTCTGCACAAACCATTTCACCGACTTAAATAAAAACCAAAGTAGTTGATGAGGCAACAAATACAAGCATGGAAGAATAAATACCTAACTTGCTAACGTGATTACAAGCAATAGGCAAAAAACGATATTTACTCCTAACGCCATGAGAATAACTCGTATGGTTAGGCATGTGACATCGCACCTACTTAACCAGATTTAGGTCCAATCTTTTGATCAAACGTTTGGGTGAAAAGAAAAATCCTCCATGTCTCTCAAAATTAGTGTTCGGTGAATGGGCCTCGTTAGTGGGGTGGAACCAAAACCACAGTTAACCCAAGAAAAAAAAGTTAGAAGTTGACCAATTCAACCAAGTTTCTGTAACAACCCAAGCCCACCGCTAGCAGATATTGTCTGTTTCGGCACGTTATGTACCATTGTTAGCCTCACGGTTTTTAAAATGCGTTTGGTAGGAAGAGGTTTCCACACCCTTATAAAGAATACTTCGTTTCCCTCTCCAACCGATGTGGGATCTCACCGTTTCTTTTTTAAATAAGGTCCAAAACTTTGCTCTTATTTATGGATTGGACAATGCATTCACTAGCAACAAAAATTAGCAGTTTCACCTCAACTCTCAGACGACAACCGAGTTCATATTGTGCATCTGGATCGCCCATATCTGCTGCTTCAACCAACAATGCAGCTCCCCTGTTACAACAAAGAAGAAAAAGAGACTAAAACATGTCCCTGAGCAAAAAACCAGCAGCCATATAATAGACATGGCCACACAGTGGTACAAAATAAATACAAAAAACTTGAAGACAAATGAATCCGTCTACTTCATATTTTCTGAGATTTGAAACAGACAATGAACAAATGAAAGTAGATGTTTCGAAAGAGTCATACTGAATTTCTTTCCCATGCCGACCTATCACTTACCTTCGAAACATTACAGCCATAACGCTTGAAACACAAAACTCAAGAACTACAGCAGTTATCCCAAGTAACGAATGCATCGTTCAAGAAAAGAAGTACAAGGTTCACTTACACAGCTTTACATCCCCCTGGGACGTGATACTTCAAATGCAATTTTGACAACCAATATCTAGCATGGGTATTAGAATTATCAACTTCAAGAGCCAATTCAAAGTTTTCCTTCGCTGTCTGAAACATTTGCAATGGGAAACAACGTCCATCTCGTGAGAAGAGTAATCCCAATTACTAAAAGAAAACAGAGAAAGTATGTAGAAAATGCAGCCAAAACCAAAGTAATAAAAGCAAAGATGCCTGCTGTTCTATGAAGGCCATCCCATTAGCTTCTGGACAATGGCATACATTTCTTTAATTCAGACACAAATACCAAATTGTTCAACTGCAGCATAAGATGATAACCCAAAAGCTCAAGTTTTCGACGTAATCAGCTAGGATAGGACTAATCTACTATGAACAAATATTAATTATGAAAGAACTGAAATGGCATTGAATTTGAACTTGAGGCCTCTAAATTTTCAGTAAATCCTGAAAACATCCAAGGAAATTTCATAAACATCAAGCATTCAGACACTGTTTTCCACATAAATCCATCTCAGTAATCAGTAAGCATTAGTAATTAGTTACATGATTTCTTAGCAATGTAATAAAGTATCGTAACGATTATTTCAGCGATTTGGGAAGAGAAGAATAGAAACAAGGTGTAATTCAAAGCAATTACCCGAAGAAGCGGGATGAGACGGCGATCATTGAGCTCGCAGTAATCAATAACTCTATCCACTTCCTTCAAAGCACTCCATCCTTTGGAGATCAACTCCATGGCTTTCCGATTTCTGCTATGAAGCTCCCTCTAAAGAGACCAATACAAATCAGAGAAACAAAAAATGAAAGAGAAAACCGTAGAACAGAAGATTCAAATGGAGAAACTAATTACATATTGACTGAAACGAAGCAGAACACTGCGTGCTGTGGGATTCCATAAGCGCTTTGCAAACGGCGGCCTGAGCATCTTCGTCTTCCTTGTGAAGCAGTGGCCTTCCCGTGAGGTTTGTGTCTGGCTCGCATCCCGGTCTGATTGAGTCGGTTTATGTTTCCGGTTATATTGTCATACAAAGACCGGACCGGACCGGACCGTGCAATTCCAAATTTGCCCATGCCCATTATGGGCCGGGTCACAATTTTTTAGAGCTTCATTAAACTGTTACATATTTATCATAAAGTCAATTAATTAATCCCAAAATAATGCAACTTTCATTGCTTAGTTTTAATATTATTATGAACTTTATAATATAAGCTACATAGCTTACACTATTATATTTATTAAATAAAGAAATAATTATGTCACTTTTCAACCATAAAATAATAATTATAATAAATAACACACTAATTAAAATTATATTACTTCATCCATTATTAGATTTTGTTAAATAAATTATTAAATGTCATAATAATAGAACTTTATATTAAATTACTTTGATAAAGATATCAATTATTTTAAATTAATAAATGCATATAAAATCTCTAAAATTCTTTTCTTCATCTAAAAAAATGTTTATATAATATAAAGTATAATGTAGCAAAATATCAATTATCTTTTTATTAATTATTGATCTCCAAATTAATTGGAAAAAAAACCCACCAATTGTGAAAACCCCCTTTTGCCCTCAAAGTTTTCCACAAAGACCTTGTATTTAATAATTAAATTAAATTTATCTCCATTTTATTTATTTTAAAATAGTTTAGTTTATTTATATTATATTTACATTAGTGACTTTTTGTTACGAATATAATGAAAATGTTGATTCATTTTTTTATGTCGATGTAGACATGTTAACAAATATTTAATATTTCACATCATTTATACATAATTTATTAAAAAAATCATAAATTTAAGAGAAAGAAGTTTGGCATTTTAAATTTTTTAAAAAAATTTTGAGATTAAATTTCAATATTACAAGTTTGGAGTCTATTTTTTTCAAATCATGGACTTAAAAGACATAAAATTGAAAGTTTCAGTAAATAAATTACTTTTAAAAAATTTAATTCGTCAATAACCTAGAGTTCAAGAGTGTGATATCTCATGTCAATTAGAGAGGGAAACAAAATCTCTCTTTAATAGAAGTGTGTTAAAACCATGAGATTAATAGACTAAAATGGACAATATCTGCTAGTGGTGGGCTTAGACTCTTACAAATGGTATCAGAGAAAAACATTGGAACAGTGCACCGGCGAGGATACTAGCCCCCCAAAGAAGATGGACTATGAGATCCCACATCAGTTGGAAAAGGGAACGAAAGGGAACGAAACATTCCTTGTAAATGTGTGAAAACCTCTTTCTAGTAGACACGTCTCAAAACCGTGAAGCTGATGACGATACGTGACGGGCCAAAGATTTTATTACAAAATAAAATCAAAATTTAGGAAGCTATCATAATTCTTTTGAAAATTCGATAAAATAGACACAAATCTCAAACTTCGAATAAAGCTAAAAGACAAAATAATAATAATAATAGTGAGAGTTGTTCATCGTATTCCTTAAAATACCTTATTATATGTATGTATATATATATATATATGTTTTTTTGGTCTTGACAAACATTTGTTCAAACTCTCCACAACATTGATTTAGGGAAGCATTTTGTTTCATTGAAAATGCTATCTCCTTTGTTTAGGACAAATAATACATCAACCTACCATATACTTCAAGGGACCCTTACCCTACAAGTAAGGCTGTGAAGGGTGTGGGTGTCCTTTCTGTTAGGCTGTCTTGGAGCAGCTCCACAAAATATATCAAATCACAACCAATTTATTATCCTTCATCACATGTGTTTGACTCTTTTCATTATTTAAACACTCCTCCCCCTTCCATGTTCTTTATATATTCTCCACGAGAACGTACACGTAATGGCTAGTCTAAACAAGCAAATGAAGGGATTCAAATCCTTCTACAAGTCTCGAGATGGAGCTCATCATAATGTACCGGCTCGTAACCTTGTTTCTATGAGTTCGGTGGATAAAACATCCGTTTACAAGTATAACTGGTTGAATGGGAAATCTAAGAAAACAAGCGATCAGAATGGTGGTGGGGGCGGGTGCGGGGGAAGAAAGGTGGTGGTCGAGGGGAGGAAGTCGGTCTCCCAAGTGGAAACAAATTTGGCATCAGTGGCTGCGTTTCTTCAAGTGAAGGTGTTGGTATCAGACATGCCTGAGATGATGCAAGTTGAGGCTTTTAGGACTGCAAGGAGGAGTTATGATAGCTTGGAGAAGTTCAGCTCAAAGTATATGGCTTACAATATTAAAAAGGTATCATAGATTCTTCCTTTTTTGGGTTTTCTTTGAATCATTTCTATTTTCCTCTTTAAATATATACTCAATATGAGCATATCATTCATCAGCTTCACAAAATGAAAAATTTTATTCAAATTGTGAGATCCCACATTGATTCGAGGGAGAACGAATGCCAGTGAGAACGCTGGCCCTGAACGGGATGGATTGTGAGATCCCAAATTGGCTGAAGAGAGAAACAAAACATTCTTTATAAGAGGGTGGAAATCTTAGGGTGTAGAAACCTCTCCTTAGCGTTTTAAAAACTTTGAGGGAAAACTCGAAAAAGAAAGTCAGAAGAGAACAATATTTGCTAACGGTGAGTTTGTAGTCTGACATAAACTCACTTTTTCTTTCCTGTTTTGGGCATGGACAATTCCACAAAAAAGAAAAAGCAAAATGGAAGGCCCTTGATATGTTACTTTCTTGCTTTCCTTTTTGGTTCGATTCTATCGAGAACAACAATGTTCAAGTACATTTTAGGTTGCACCCACCCAACCCGAACACCACAACCGAAAAAATTCAAAACTATTTTTAAAGAAAATAAGAAAGAAGAATTTGTGATTGGCCCGTTCAATGAGTGTAACTCAAGATGCATGCAAAGTATGTTTCTGATCATATAGTAACGAATCCATGTCTGAATCCTCTAATTAAACACAATCCATCTCAAACTCTAGGTTTCTGATCATTGAGGCAGTTGTTCACTACAATCACTGAATCATTGCATTATATTATAAAAGAATAAAAAAATCAGACAGAATTCAAGTGGGCATTTGGTCAAAGGATCCGACAGCCCATGTGTTTAGATCAGTGATTAGCACATATTTTAAGCTCACAATCTGATATTTCATTCAAATGTAGTCTTCCTTTTCCTAACAATCCATGTGCATTGGCTTAGTAATGCTAATTTCCCTTGCAATCACTTTGAAAGAATCTCACTTATTACTAAATTAGTACTGACTCGGATTGGTTGGTTACGGGACGAGGATCACGAAGGGTTTCGAGATTAGTAGAGTGAGATGAGCCAAGTTTATAGGATCATAGATGAATAACAAAGTTGTTAGAAGTGATAAGAAATTGGGATCGTTCCAGGTCAATGTCACAATGTCATACGATTCTAGGTTCTAATTGAACGGTCAATGATAAATATATTTGTAAATCGAGCCAAAATCTATGCTACAGCATACTTTAACTATTCTTGTCAAAAAGGACCTCTTTTAGAACACAAAACAGTGTTTAATAAATGTATTCCCTTGACATCCCATTTTGTATACATCGATTTATAGTAATGAAGTTGAGGCCTAATGCAGGAGTTTGATAAAGTTCATGGGCCGGCCTGGCATTGTATTGTCGGCTCAAGTTTTGGGTCATTTGTGACCCACTCAACAGGTTGTTTCCTATATTTTTCAATGGAGAAACTCTATATTTTGTTGTTTAGAACTAAGATTCAGAAGGCTAATGAATGAGCTTGAGTTCATAGAATGATGAACCTATGTAAATGCCTACTTTCTTATCTCAATTGAAGAGTCGATCAATCGTAAAGAATTGGATAAGTTTCTAATTGATAGAATTAAGATCACATGAATAAAAAGTTCAAATATGTATCGAGTGACTTCTAAGTGCTCAAAAATATATATTTTTTTAACTTCAAGACACTTTTTAAGCACTTAAAAAGTCTACCTAAAACAGATCTACAATTGAAAAAAAAGTACGAGATACGAACCACTTGTGGAGAAGCAGTCGTGTTATTATTACCCTAGAATTGGATGAGATGCCGGCCCCTTAATCCAGAGGCATTCCTGGTAGATCCGGCTGAGATGCTATTTCACTCGGACGACATGACATGAAACAAACAGCCAAGTGTTATACACTTCAAGAAAAAGTCAAAAAAGCCAACATAAACTGGCCTTCAAAAGATTAACTTTTCTAATGAACATCACCTTGGAAATTATTTTGATTTAAATTTTTTGGTCAAAAGATTCAAATCTACCTATGCTTCAGAAAATACTTCCTCACATAAAGTTTATACGTCAATCTTGTTAGAATTTGTAGACCATTTCCTTAGTATATCCAAGTTCCTGAAGGATGCCAGCAAGCTACAAGAAAGCAGTAAAAAAGATTATTAATATGTAATAACAGTCGATGAATCAATTAAAGTTCATGAAAGGACAGTGAAAAGCCCAAATATATTGCTATACCTCTCCCTGTGAGTAATCTTTAGCCTTCTCCCCAGATATGTGTTTCATCATTCCTGGTGGACCGCATACCTGAACACGTGGAAGGGAGTCGTTTATGTATCTAGAAATGACTATGGTAGTAAAACTATAAAACATATAATTTCTTTCCATTTCAACCAAAAATTACAGATAGACTCGTAGTGTAAAAGTTAGATAGCCTCAATACCAATGCCCTGGCCATGTAGCCAGGTGTGTGTATACGAGTACATTCAAAACCATATGGGTGTGGAGGGACTCGAACGCCTTCATTGGTTTGTCCTAGTAAGTAACTTATAGGCAGACCATTGGCTACGACAGGATCTATGAGCCTGGCTCTACAGGCCACACTCGATTTATACTGATATAATTCACATATAGGTCTAGATGATATGAAGATATTTAGACGGCCCAATTGATATACAAGAGCATGATTCATTATGTTATTATAATAATGGGAACAATAGATGGAAGAGGCAACACAGATTTTTTAAACCATTTTTTCATTTTCCTTCTCGCTAGAGGAAAATGAAATATCGCAATGAAATAGATAAGAACTGCAAAGACTACCGGTTACTGAAGTACTACAGCAACAACAACAATAAACACTTACGAGGATTAGTGTGTCGTCCCCAGGGGCAGGTAAGCCTTTAATGGCCATATCCTTTGATACGTATCCTTTTCCTCCCTTCCAACTCTTTGATGGATTGTCAACAGTGTAGAAGACCTACATTTTTATTACCAAAGAGTCCATCACTTTCATTACGAGGCAGGAATTTCATTCGATCAATAAACTGTTGTTTTATCTCTCTATACAAATGAAATTACCCTAGTGATGACAAAGGGCTGTCCTTCATACATGAACACGCTACTGAAACTAGGTTCTTAATATGTCATCGTTCATCTCACAATCATTTGATAGGACACAATTCTAAATATTACAGCAGTTTTTCATTAATCAAATAAACGATACCTTTAAATTTGGGTGGCTAGATGCAAGTAGGTCAAGTTTCTGTTTAAGCAATATATCATCCGGCGACACATTCCCATAAATCAGCGAGACCTGTAAGCATTAAAGGACATGCTCAAGCAATCATCAAAAAGCTATAGCTGAGCTAGTTTTGTGTTTATACTGCACAAACGAAGGTAGGTTGAAAAATCAAAGAGTAATATTATCAAAATTTCACAGGTTCATCACTCAAGTGTTAGAAGAAAATGCTGCTCCACTGCCCATAGAAAATACCGGAAATTACTACAACAGTTCCAATTGGGGTGCATTTTCACAAGCTCCAAATAGGGTTTAGGGTCTTCTATTGGAACTTTTCTTAAATCAACGAAACTTGCTTTACTAAGTGATTGCGCACCTGGGTATTGTCATCTGGGTTTTTTACTATAGCATCAATGACTTGAAGCATGGGAGTAATTCCAGTGCCACCAGCAATCTGCATGGGCAGAAAACAAAATTTTGAGATATCACGTATAGTTGATCTCAGTATTTAGTTACTCTAATTACACTAAAGCCGTCTTTCAGTTTCCTGTCATATAATAGAAATGGTCATTCTCGATACAAAGAAAGCTATATAACTTGCATGTCAATAAAAAAATTAAAGGAACTTTTATCTTTTAAATTAGAAGTTAAAAATGATTGCCAATCCAAAAAATGATATGCAAACTAGAGTATCTGAGCTTTCAATGGGGATGCACAGCAATTGAGTTAGTGTGCGTATAGTTTCACGGTCAATCTGAGATGATTCTTCTTACCATGCCAATGTGTTTCTTCATATTTGGTGAGTATCTGATCTTTTCAATGGGGCTGCAAAGCAATCAAGGGAAAAGAGAGTGACATATACGATATACAATAAATGGCCTGAAAGTAAGGAGGAAGACAAAATAAATTAAAAATACCCTTTCACTTCAACCACATCCCCAGGTTTCAAGCTAGCAAAATGCTGACTCATTTTTCCATGAGGATATACCTGCAAAATTCACGAAAGAAACCACAAATTAAGTAATCATATAGCAGTTTTGTCTTTAAAAGGATAAGCAGATACATTAAGGAAATATACACGGTAATGTGAAGAACAACATACCTTAATCAGTAGATCAAAGTATCCCTTTGAATCAGGATCTGATATAGGTGTATACCTGAACAGAATAAATATACAGGGAATCACATTACATACATCAATAAATACAATCGAGTCTCATCTTGATGTTTCAAAAAAGAGCCTCACAAACAAAATCATTTCATGAAGATCAAGTAAATATAAAGAAGAGAGGTTGGATTGATGGTGAATAAGTAGGTAGCATAAGTAGCTGGAATATCATAAAGATTGAACTGTGAATATTGAATGGACTGGCTGGAAGTCTCAACTTCCCAAGGAGGTAAGTATTTTGAAAACATAATCAATTGGCTGAATTATAAAAGACTTTTTATCATTATGCTAAACCCTCAAAAACTCCAACTTACTGATACCAAATTTTCAATAATCAAATATAGGTAAAATCAAAATCAAGCATGCCAATATTTGCGCAAGATGACTTACGGGCGTACAACGTATTTTACTTTTCCCTCAGCATCTACTCCACTTGGTGCTCTGTAGTTACAACAACGCACCGGGATGAATAACCAGAAGCATAATCCTTTTAACTTAGCAATCATGAGCAAATTGAAAAAGATGGGTGGAGGAGGAAAGAGAAAAACTTACCTCGTCAGGAGGCATGAAGCGACATGCAACCCCAATTTTTCAGTAGGATCAAATGAAAACCTGCCCCAGTTTGTGTATTAGAAAATATTGCATACATAAAAAGTCCCTACTTATAATTAGTTGCATTACTGCACAAATTACATGGGTGAGGTTATGTTATATTGGAGTGTAGAAAGAAGAAAGGAGCTGAGAGCAAACACAAAAATACATAGTAGTGTGACGAAATGTATTGAGACTAGTGGCTCCAGTCATTATTTCAAAGGGAAAAGTTTGGGCAGTAGTTTTAGTAATTGTTTTCTGCTAACCCCACATCAATTCCTTACCTGAAATCTAAAACTAAAGACATGTCTATAAAGTATTCAAAGCAAATAGATGCTTCATTATCTTACTAAAGTGCCATAAAACGGGGATCCTAAATTTTGTACCTGAATAACTGAGTATCATGAGTAACCCGTGCAGTGTCTTGCAGCTTGAATTCAATCCATTTATCGGACTTGAGTGCTGGAAATGGAAGTGCACAAAACCATTTTTCATGGATTATGAAATGTAAGAAGAAACTAAAAAATTTAAAAGTTCATTCGTGCCAGATTCTTCTTTCTTTTATAACAAAATTGGTCTAGAAATAGCAAATGAGACAAACTGACCAACTTTTGGGCCTCCCGCTTCACTGTTTTGATCTAGATGAACCTGTGAATAACATTTACCAATAGAACATTAAGCTCCAACGAGATGCTTCATCCTAGACGTCCATTAAATTTCGATAATCATAAGAATAAAACACGCCGCAACAACCAAATCATACGAACAGACGACGAAAATGAAGCTCAGTAATAAACCAATCCATCACAACGATTTCAAATTATGAAAATAAATAAGAATGTAACAATTCAATACAATCAACCTCCGAAATGGATCTTATAAGCGGCACATACAATTAAAAACAAGATAAGAAAACACGAAAATCCAGCTGAATTACCAAATCCGATGATGAAACATAATACATATACGAGATTCCGCCAGAAACTGCAGCAATAGCTCCAATAGGGAATCTATACTTAGAAGAATGGATCTTTGATTGACCTCCAAATGCATTGGAGCTTAGAGCTGGAGCAGCGTTTACAAGCCTTCGGAGGAACGTAGCCATGATCGCCAGAGGAAAGAAAGAGTACGAAATGTGTAATGGAATAATTGCAGCACTGCACACAAACAAACCCCCTGCCTTTTGATACTTTGAGAAATGGACATGTAACGGGCCCACTTTTGAAAATGGGCCTAGCCACTGGGCCTGGTTTCTTGGTCCTACTTGAGCCCAATTCGAATGGAATTATTTGGGCCTCTAGTTTGTAGCCCAATTCTCATTGGGCCACCCGCTGCCCTAAAACGAATATAAAATTATATGTTTCCGTACGGCCCTTTTCTCATACTATTTTATTATTTTTTTTAAAAATACCATCGATACATAAATATTGGGAAAAATAACAATTTTGCCCCCAAACTTTCAATTTTTCAAAAATACCCTTCAATTTTAAATATTTTCATTAATACCCTTTCTAAGATAATAATAATAAT